TATTGATCTTTGAACAATTACTTTTTTATTTTTTACAACTTTTATTAACCTGTTCAATTTTTCCCCTCAACAAGAAATGTAATTATTTTTATGGTAAAAGTGGAATTCTAATTTACCTTTGTTCATATTTACAAAGAGTTTACAAAGAAGATAGTTTTGCTCTGACTTCAGCTGTTTTCTAACAGTTCTTTAACTTTGGGAAAGAGTCATTTTGCACCAAATATTCTTAGTTAAGAACATTATTTCTCCTGCCTCCCAGTATGTGCTTTTCTTTGGCTGCAGACTCACAGTGTGCTTGTGCACACACATAAGAAACAAATTATTATCTAAAAACTGTAGGCACACAGTTTTAAAGAGTAAAACTCATACATTTTGTTTTGCTGCTAAAAATATAATGAAGAAAAAAATCAATAAATCCCAGTTTCAAACGGTAACAAATAATTATTTTTCAGAGCTTTTTACAGCATATTTGTAAGGTAAAAAATAAAGAAAATAAGTCATTATTGATTTCAATTCAGTCCCTTTTGGTGCAACAACAGTTTATATGTCTATTTGTTCATGCTCAAAGTATATACGACTGGAATGTGAATTAATATCTGTAAAATCACAGCAGAACTTGTTACCTACATCCCGTTTTTCAGCTAGCGTTTGTGTATGTGAAAAACCCATGGCAGCCCATGGTGCAGAACACTGCTGGGACTGCTGCTGTGAAATGTTATTTTTGTCACATAATCGCCGCTGTCTAGACAGTTCACGCACTCTGTCAACAACCTATTCCCAGRGCAGAGATCAAGTCAAAATAAAGATAATTAATGACATTAAAATGTCCCAAATGTCATGTTGACACCTGATCGAAGCAAAAGGCCCTGAATGTTTAAAGTTAAGTGATTTGAGCTTCATTACGCCTTGAAAGCAAAATTCAAATCAGTTTTTTTTTTGCGACACCATTTGCTTTGATTCTCCCATTTAATAGACTTTAAGCATTCGTGTCATTATTGTAACTGCAGGTCAGAGTTTTGTGTCTCAAATGAATTAATTGGATGTTTTTCAGACCCTTTTATGATTTGTTTCACTAGCTGCGATAAAAAGACATCAAAATCTCAGAAAGACAGAGTTAGAAGGCAATTTAAAACCTGAAAAAGGCTGAATGAAAAGGAGAAGTGTTGTGTATGATGGATGAATGGATTGGATCATAGTCGATGGTAATGTCAGTGTTGGTCCAGTCTGTGGTGAAGAAGGCTCTTGGTTTACTGGTCCATCTACGTTTCAAAGAACAATCTTCTGGATGCAAAAAAAAGAAAGAGCTTCCTGTGTCAGGTGACCAGGCAAAGATGAGGAGCTGCATTGTTTGGGAGGAGCTTGGAGCTGAGCCACTCCTCTTTTTTTAAAAGGTGCTCACTACAAATGTTCGTCTTACCGAGTTTTAGAATCGTATATCCTGCCAAAACAAGAAAATCATTTTGATCATGTTTTGAGACAGATTTATACATCTTTTTAGCAGAAAGCATATGATTATTTATCTTGTTAGCCTAGAAATTTGCTTCAAATTAAAAAATCTTCCAATAGCGTGTAGTGAAAACCGTTCCATGGGGGTCCTCAGTCGCTGCTGTGATGATGAGGGACATTGAATCTGACAGGCTTGAAGTATTTATTTCAGATTACAGCCTGAGATCTCTAGCCACCTTTTATATAGCCACCCACTCCCTGATCTAAAGATATTCCACATGTCCTTATTGGCTGAGATTGAGAATGCTTAAATTTAGAAACTACAACTATTTCCTTATAAGGTGTTGAAGCTGAAGCTGCTCTGTCCTGCAGAAGCTTTGGGCCTTATCGTCGATGTAAAAATGTATTCAGACACCACAAGAGTGAGACACTTTCACTTGATAAGATTCTTGAAATCACTTAATTTGACTCATTTTTTTTTCTAATTTCAAGAATCTCACCAAGTGAAATTGTTTTACTCCATTGGCAGATTTTTTTTATTTTACTTGAGTCAAATTTCAACTGGTGGCAAAAGTTCGGCCGGCCAATTGGTTCATTCATCCCTTAATCCCAAACCCCTGGTTTTCTACTTTACTTAATCTAAGTTCTATTAATTCAACGTGTGTGGTATCTTCAGAAACGCCACAATCTTGGCTAGAAGCTGGCAAACATTTCTATGCACACTCAAGACAGTTGAAACTACAAGCAGTTAAAGATAAAACTATGAAAGTGGAAATAAAATTGATTTAAAAATTTGGCAAGTCAAAGATGTCAAAAATAATATTTGTGTTAAACAGGAGGCATAATGTGTTATTTTTGTTTTTGATGTTTTGTTATCACTACTTTTATTACATAGGGTTCTGTATGTTGCATTCATGCAGCAAAATAAACAAATTCAAATGTAATAGATCTTTGTAATACTTGATTTATTTACAAAATGACTTAAATTGATGGATCTGCCGTGCTGTTGGCCTACATTAACTGTGTCTCCCAGAGCAGTTTAGCTGAATAGCCCTGGGATAAACAATATGTGTTCTGCTAACAAGAGTATTAATCTAACAAATAATGTTCTTTTTTAGTAAATCAGTCTCAAAACTATATACG